CCCCCCCCCCCTCCTCCGTTTGCAAACGGAGGGCAAAAAAGGTGGGCGCAACTCAGCCTCTCCGGTGGGGTGGGGTGGGGGAGCCCTTGCCACGTGCACCCCTTCTGGGCAGTTTGGGTTGGCGTTTGAGGAGGAGGGGGGGGGTGTTGTTGCACGGCTTTTGTGTGTGTGTGTGTCTGTTGGTCTTTTTAGAGGAACTACCTTGCTAGGAAAACAGCTCTGCCCCCTCCCCACAACCTCCCTCCCTCCCTCTCTCTCTCCCCCTCTCTTTCACTCTCCCTCCCTCTCTCCCCTCCCTCTTTCTCTCTTCCCACTCTCCCTCCCTTTATTTCCCTCCCTCTCTCCCCTCTCTTTCTCTCTTTCCACTCCCTCTTCCCCTCTCTCTTCTCTCCCTCCCTCTCTCTCTCCCCCTCTCCCTCTCTCTATTTCCCTCTCTCTCCCCATCTCCCTCTCCCCTTATCTTTCATGCTCCCTCCCTCCTTCTCTTCCTTCCCTTTCTCTCTTCCCTCCTTCTCTCCCCTCTCCCTTTATTTCCCTCCCTCTCTCTTCTCTCTCCCTCTCTCCTTCCCTCTCTTTCACTCTCTCTTCTCTCCCTCCCTCTCTCTTTCTCTCTTCCCTCTCCCTCCCTCTCTCTCCCTCTTTCCTCCTCGTCTTTGCTTTCTCTTTTCTTTCTGTGTTTGTGCAGGCTCTCTTTTGCTCCAGATCAGGTTTCACCTTCCAGCTGACTTTCTGCCCTGTTCTTTGCAAAGATTACACCCGCTCTTTGTGTGTGTGTGTGTGTGTGAAGAACTTGGCAAAGGGCCTGTTTACTCCAACCTCCAGCTTATGGAGCAAGAGGGGCGGGTTTGGCTGGCAGCGCCTGGAGCAGCTCGCTTAGGGGTTGCAGCCTTGGGGAACCCCATGCTTTGGAGCCTCGCCCCTCCACAGGTGTGGGGTGGGGGTGGAAGGGCCGCCATTGCCAGATGACCCCCCTTCCTGGAGATTCCCCCCTCCCCCCATCTGCCAAGAATAGTGCCAAAAGGATCTTCCAACGGGACTTTTGAGCAGGCGATGTGTGGCTCTCGGAGGAACTCAAAAGCTTTCTGGAAATCCGTCTTGGTCCTGATCCTGCCACGTTAAGCGAGGCCGCCCTGTATTTCTCCAAAGAAAACCCAAATGAGCTGGCTCCCACCCCCTTTGCCCCCATGCAGTTCTTGTTAGGAGATTTTATTTTATTTTATTTGCATTTGGCTCGTTTCCCCCCCTCCCCCAGAATTGGGCCGCTGGTGAGCCAAAGGGAGCTCAAGGAGAGCTCTTTCTGTTTACACACACACACACAGGGTTAAACCCCACCACGAGTCTCCTTTCTCTCCTCTCCCCTTTTATGTCTTAAGTTGTTCCCTCTTTCGCTCAGTAATTCCAAAACACACCGATTGATCCCCAGACAGGAGTACAAAGGCAGGGAGACACCCAGCGTTCAGTGTAGCTTTGTGTGTGTGTGTGTGTTGTGTTGCGAAGTGTTGCCTTGTCCAGAATAGGCAGTCACTCACACACAAACACATACACACACACCTCTGCCTGGCGTCTTGTTCCTTTTGAGCCTTAGAGGAAAAAGTTGCCAACTGATCTGAAAGAACCTGCCTGGATTTGCTCTTGTGCCATGCGCGGCAGCAGGTGGAGGCGGGGAGGGGCAGAACCAACAAGTGGGTTTTTTGGGGGGGGGGGAGGGTGTAGGGGAAGGCAGGGAAGGGCCCTTGGTGCCCTCTGAGCTTGGCTCTTTTCTTGCAGGCGTGTCATTAAAACTCGGCCGGGGCCAAAAGTTCAGATCAGCTACTACAAATACGGAGGAATTTACCTAGTTTGGGTAATGAAACGGTCTGCAAAAGGAAAAAAAAGCCAAGCTCAGAGAGCACCAAGGACCCCACAGTCCTCCTCTTCCTCCTCCTCTTCCTCCTCCTCCTTCTCTTCCTCCTCCCTCTGCCTCCTCTCCTCCTCTTCTTCCTCCTCCTCCTCCTCTTCTTCCTCCTCTTCCTCCTCTTCTCCTCTCTACAAACCCCACTCCCTCCTAGCTTTCCTGATGGTATTTAACTGGCTCATGAAACATCTGCAAGCAAATAGCCAAGGTCAGAGAGCACCAAGGACCCCACAGTCCTCTTCCTCTTCCTCCTCCTCTTCTTCCTCCTCCTTCTCTTCCTCCTCCCTCTGCCTCCTCTCCTCCTCTCCCTCCTCCTCCTCTCCTC